GTTGGGGACCCTAAGGGATGCCGAGGATGAACCCAGGGTCAGCTGGGCGGGGACTATCGCTCCAGCTCCACAAAATCCAAATTGGTTAAGCGCAGGTTACATGGAAGGGTAGGACGCAGCTCAAGTGGCAGAGCCCCACAACAATGAAAAAATAATGACAAGTTACTCAGCCCCACGGAGAACACCCGCTCTGGCATTTCAGGGCTTCTGGAACAATCAAATGTTTTGACTTTCACTATAATAAAATATCGTCCTAGGGGAACTCTGGGCCTTCTCCCCATGTTCCAAAGCACCTCAAAGCGCCTTCACAGAGCAGCAGTGGATATACCACAGGTGAGGAATAGCATCTGTGGACACTTTCTGACACATCAGAACATTCCTGAGGGTGCAGAAGGACATGAGGTGACAGTCATTGATCACACAATTAAACTGAAAGCAGGTGACAGTACGACAGGGCTTATAAATGTTCTAGATTTTTCTGAATTCCTAAGAAAAAGCCATAGGAGAAATAGCCTTACAGAGCCTGTTTTCCTTTATTTATTTATTTATTTATTTATTTTCTTTTTTGGTCACACCCGGAGATGCACAGGGGTTACTCCTGGCTCTGCACTCACTCCTGGCAGTGCTCAGGGGGCCATATGGGATGCTGAGAATCGAACCCGGGTCAGCCTTGTGCAAGGCAAATGCCCTACCTGCTGTGCTATCACTCCAGCCCCCAGAGACTGTTTTTCAAATCCATTTAGAATCATTTCAGGGTCAGTGTATGGTACAGCGGGGAGGGCGCTGGCCTTGCACGTAGCCGACCCCGGTTCCAGCCCCGGCATCCCGTAGGGTTCCCGAGTCCTGCCAGGGGTAATCCCTGAGCACAGAGCCAGGAGTCAGCCCTGAGCTTAGCTGGGTACAGCCGCAAGGCAAAAAAAAAAAAACCAAACTCCAAAATTAACCATGTCGGTCACTATTTTCAGTCACTGGTCTGTAACGTGCATGGCCAAAGCGGCACCAATTCTCAGTCCCTGGTCTGCTCATCCATGCCCTACTGAGCAGACTAGTTAGTAGCAATTAAATGTATAAAACAAAATTTAAAGGACTAAATGGAGAACAGGCATAGACAACTGCAGACATTCACCTTTGCTAACTCTTAGTTTCACGCCGGAAGAAATGCAAGTGTATATTATAAGACTTCCTTCCATCCTGTGGACAGATACCGTGTATGTGTTGGTTCTGCTGCCTGGTATCCTCGTTGAGAGGCCATCAGAGCGGGGACAAGGGGCTTCTGCTGCCACCCCCAATCCACAGAGGTACCATGTTTGCATTCGGATAAGAACAAACACCTCAGAAAACAAACCAAGTGGGAAAAGATCACAATAACACTTAATAAATGGACAGGAAATTTAAAATCTGCCAACAAGGGCCAGAGAGATAGTCGGGGGGAGTAGGGCGCTTGCCTTGCACATGGCTGGCCCAGGTTCAATCCCCGGCACCCCATATGGTCCCCCAAGCCCCGCCAGGAGAGATCCCCGAGCACAGAGCCACGAGAAAGCTCTGAGCACCGCCAGGCGTGGCCCCCAAAACCCAACCACCCGCAACCCTACCCTAGAGAAAAGAAGAAGCCTGGAGACCGCCTCCCCGCATTTCCCATAACCAAACATTCTCCAACCATCAGCCAAATCTCCAGATACTTTCTCACTTCGATGCCCGTTTCCTCTGCTCGACACCAACAGCTCCTCTGTCAGGCGCCTGCCCATCTCCTCTGCTGGCACCAACCATGCCCTCTCATCAAGGACTCCCACGACAGTGCTCCTCCTCCAGCTGCCCGGGTGAGGCCCGCCTCAAAGCCAGCCGGAGTCCCCGGAGTCCCCGCCAGAGCCGCTCGCTCAGCCCCCGGGAGTGCCGGGGAAACTCGCTCTGTCTCAGTCACCGTTGCCCTGCGCTGCACCAAGGGACCATTGGGAAGTGACCTAGGCTCGGAGCAGCCGAACTTGACCCTTCCTGAAGCCGGATCCTTTGCACAGAACGGCAAAGCCGGACAGGCCTTCTCCCAAGGCTGATGGCACAGAGGGCACCGAAGCCAGAAGAAAAGCCGGGGCCCGGCCCACGGGAGCCGAGACTGGAGCAGCAGGGGGACCCCTCGGACGTGTGCAGGGGTGCAGAGCTTCGGGGGACCCCGCCGGGGAGAGCGTCTCTGCCTGGACTGACGGCGTCTGCACCTGCCGGCAAGAACTGCGGCGAGCCACGAAGGCCCATGCCCTGCAAAACCATAACCAACTGGCACTGCATTCACAGCAAATTCATGTTCAACTGGCATTCACAGCAAATTCATGTTCAACTGGCATTCACAGCAAATTCATGTTCAATCTCCAAATAACCCCACACGGCCACACCAGGGACCCCTTGGGAAGGTCGCTGTTTGGCATGGCATTGCAAGACGAAACCAGAGAGGAGTCTGAGGTACTGAAGTATTTCACTCCTTTGGAATACTGAAAATAAGTTCTGCCACCAAGCTACAGAGAAACATTTGAGCTGAAATTATTATTATTATTATTATTATTATTTGCTTTTGGGGTCACACCCGGCGATGCACAGAGGTTCCTCCTGGCTCTGCACTCAGGAGTTACTCCTGGCGGTGCTCGGGGGACCTTATGGGATGCTGGGAATCAAACCCGGGTTGGCCGCGTGCAAGGCAAACGCCCTACCCGCTGTGCTATCTCTCCAGCGCCCTGAAATTACTTTAAAATCCGATTACAAACAAGTGTTAGCTGCAACTTCTACAACGAGTACTTCCGATGCTAAGACATCCCATTATGTTTGGGGTTTTGTTGTTGTTGTAAATAAGTCTAGAACTGAAACCTATTATCAGATAAACAGGGCACTTGATGGCTCTCGGGGCAAGTTGGGGGCAGCTTTTACCCCTCCAGAATACAAAGGATTGAGGGAACAATGGAAACGCGATTCCTTTGTTCTTACAATTTCCGCATATGGAAAAATAAAGAGTGAAAGCAGAGCATTAAGTATCAGCAATGTGACAGCCGGGAGGGCGCCTGCCTTGCACACAGTCAACCTGGGTTCAAGCCCCAGCATCCCATATGATCCCATATAATTTACTGCCAGGAGTAAATCCTGAGTGCTGAGCCAGGAGTAACCTCCAAGCACCGCTGAGAGTGAACCCAAAAATAAAACAAACATGTATCACCGATAATTACTGCTACAGGTAGGACTGTAAGTTATTTTCATCTTCACAGGACTGGTCTTATGCATAAGGGCAAATTTTCTACTCATGCTCATAACTATTTTTTTAATAGTTTAAGCCGGGGTCTAGGGATGCAGCTCAATGGCAGAGCAGGACTTGGAACCACATAGAAGGCCGTCAGGCGCTGGACCACTGTCTCCCCTCCCTCCAGGGCCTCAGGGCAGGCCCCCCCCCCCATAATGACGGGGCCAGGGGAAATCACCTAGAACTTCTCTCTTTGGAGCAGGCAGTGGGACGAAATTAGCCCAACAAAAGGCCTATTTATGAACATAAGGGTATCTTTGGCATTTCTGGGGTCCTGCAGTGTGCCAGCCCATTGTTCCACGGACTTCCTAGCAGAGCAAACAATGATCGACCCCCCATACACACACACCAGAATTGGGGCTTGGGGGAAGGGAGGAGACCAAGGGTCAGGAGGAACAGGATTTTCAGAGCCTTACAGCAATTCAGGGTAAGAGGAAATGTGATTTTTCTTACAAGCGGCCGCTAATTCACAGAACCTGGGGTCATCAGCTGTGCCTTCTGCAGGGCAATTTAACTGCAGACCAGCTGGAAGGAGAAGCAAGAGTGAGGGGAAACAGCACCACAACAGACTCACGATACGGCCCCACTAAGCTCGGGGGTTTTCTCTCGGAGTCCGTGAGGGCCGCATTAAAGCAAAGCCGGCCCCAGAGAAAAGAGTTTCTCACCGGCTGCCCCTGCAAGCTCCGACGGCCGGCCGCGTCTCACAGCACGCCCGGTGCTCGCCGGCAGGTGACTGCGTTTTAATTTCCGAAAGCCACAGGACATAAGTCCGATTTCAAATTGTGTCTGGACTGTGATATTCAACACTGATAAAAACTGTATGCTGATTTCTTGAAAGCAAACGATTCAGTTGTGTGGGAAGGGAGCTTCTGTTTTGTTCGAAGCGCTATTCTCAAAGAAATTTACTCCCTGGCTTCTCAACCATGAATATTCAGCGGCAAAGCTACTGGCACGAGAAATGTTAGCTTGGTAGGTCGCAGGAACTGACCGTGCTATATATTCTGCATCGCTCACCAGGATGCAGAACGGATAAAACTGGCCAACACAAAACTTGGAACTTTCTATCAGAAAATGCTCGTTAGAGCTGGGGGGGGGGGGGGGGGGGGGAAACACATTTGCAATTAACCCAAGAATCTCTTTGAATGACCATTCAGTGCATGGAGATGAACCCATCACCCTGAGTCCCAGGGAAACCCCGCGAACGCCTTAATCTTCAAGGATTTCACTAGAAGAGAAGCGGCCTTGTGGAAGGATCGGGAAACCTGCAGAGGAAAAGGGGAACCCACGCACCGGGTCAGGCCACCGGGAACCAATAAAGCCGTCACATTACTCAGTGGGAAGAAACACACGACAGTGCTTTTATGTGAACATTAATAATGCGACAAGAGGCTGGCAATTTTAACGCAGGACTGGCTCTGCTCTGACCTGGGAAGAACTAGGGGCTGGAGCAATAGCACAGCGGGCAGGGCGTTTGCCTTGCACGCAGCCGACCTGGGTTCAATTCCCAGCATCCCATATGGTCCCCCGAGCACCACCAGGAGTAATTCCTGAGTGCATGAACCGGGAGTAACTCCTGTGTATTGCCGGGTGTGACCCAAAAAAAGCAAAAAAAAAAAAAAAAGCCTAAAAGAAAAAAATGTTTTGAGAGCGGCTAAGTACATGGTTTACTCTGATTATCGATTGACAAGGCGAGTCCTTGTGAGTCCTGTGACGCTCTGCTCAGACCCACCTGCGGCCGGGTCCTGGTTGAAGCGACAGTACTTGGACTTGTCGAGCGATGGGAGGCACTGCTCAATGGGGACCCAGACGTAGGTCTCAGGACACAGCAGATCCGAAGGTCTGTACTGGCTCTAGAGAAGGGAAGACAAAGGGACAGGTGTTACGGCACAGCCCGGGTGGCTACAGCAGAGGTTCACAGTTCAACAAACGCAACCGGGAACAGCCTTACAGCACAGACGAGGCGACTCTCAGTAACGGCTCCCCCCCCCTGTCAGGCTGCAGCGAGACTCGCAGAGTCACCCACTACTATGATCTGGGGGAACCTGTCGGCTTCAAAGATTTGAGTTCTGGGGCTGGAGCGATAGCACCAAAGCAGAACCAAAATAATATAGTATTTCCTTCTAAGGTTGGTTGCCTCCTACTTTGAATCCCATCAAATGTGGTGCAGTGCTCTTGGAGTATGGGCAGGCTGTGTCCTGTGAAGTGTCACGCAGCCGCATTTGCGGCCAGGGAAAGGCTCACTTGTGGGTGAACAAACATGTAGAAGAGTGGCTGTGAGCAGGGCGCCAGTTGAGTTCTGGAGGTTTTCGGCTGCTGGGGCTGAGTCCCTTGGTGCGGGAAGAGGTCTCACCCACCCCCCTCTGGGGTGACCCAAGTGAAACTGCCTGGCGCGAGATACGGTGGCATGGTTAGAAACGCCTCAGTTTACAACCCTCGACTCTCACAGAAGTTCAGGTGCATGTGGCTGACCCAGGTTCACTCCCTAGCCCACTTCTGGTCACCTGAGCACTTCAAGGAGTGATCCTGGAGCACAGAACCAGGAGTAAGCCCTGAGCACAGCACAGTCAGATGTAGCCCAAACCCCAGCCCCTGAGAGAAATGACTTATAAGACAATTATAGGTCCTATATCGGAGACAAAAATTATAGAGTAGATGCTGCAAAAAGAGCGTGCCATTTGCCCTGGAGTGTGTCTGAACAGCAGAAGATGGTTCAACTTCTCTGAAACAGTGAAAAACTTCAGAAATACCAGTTACTTTAAAAACTTCAATGATCTCTTCTCAATTTTAAGATTCAAGAGAGATGGACACCCAGCAGTGTTTTGCAAAATAAAACTAGAAAACTAGAGGCTGGAGTGAGGGTCCAGAGGGTAGGGTACTTGCCTTGCACACGGCCAACCCGGGTTCCATCTCTGGGACCCTGCATGGTCCCTCAAGCCTGTCAGGAATGATTCTTGAGTTTCAAAGCCGGGAGTTAAGCCCTGCGCATTCTGGGTGGGCCCCGAAAACCAAATAATAAAAACCAGAAAGAAACCCTTCGCCACCCACTTTCCAACCCCTCGTTTTCATTTTCTACTCGATTTCATTTGTCTAAAACCTAATGTTCTTACCCCAACCAAAACTGCTTTCATGAACAGCAAAAAGGTCTCCCTTTGCAAACTGTTATCTAGTGCAAAAAAGGACCCCTCGCCACACACGCCGTGCGCCCACGTTCGGCCAGCAGCAGGCGTTCCAGCGCCCACAGGAACCACCGCCTGGACACTGGACGCCCACCATGTCCTCCAGCACGCTAAGTATTTAGAAGGTGAAGATATGAGGAGATCATACATAAAACATGGACGAGCAGATGGACCCCGGCCTGAGAGGCCGCAAGAGATTTAAGAGGATATAGAGGGGCTGGAGCGACAGCACGGCTGGGAGAGCGTTTGCCTTGCACACGGCCAACCCAGGTTCGATTCCCAGCATCCCATAGGGTCCCCCGAGCACCGCCAGGAGTAATTCCTGAGTGCAGAGCCAGGAGGGAGTAACTGCTGTGCAATGCCTGGTGTGACCCCAAAACAGCAAATAATTAAAAAAAAAAAAAGAGGACATAAGAGTTTTATTGCAGATTTCTCAGACAGCCTGGAAGAAGCCTTGGGAGGATAAGAAGGAGCGAGAACAATTCAGGAGGAAGGGACCAGGATAAACAAAGAGACGGGAGCAGGTTCAGCTGAGCAACAGGAAGTATCAGTGCATCCCGATCACAACCAGGTGGTCAAGACGGATCCAACAAGCCCGTGGACAGCGGGGGTGTGGACCTGGTCCTGAGTGAGACGAGGCTGCCGGCTGGCTGAGAAGGCATGCCGGGAAGAGGAGCTGGGCACTGGCTGCACCTCGCATCAGCCAGTGCCCGGGAGAAAATCATTAAGGCGCGCATTGACAACTGACTTGGGCGGTGTGAGCAGGCCAGATACAACACTGATACCAGCAGCGGCATTTCCTCCATCAATTCTAAAGCTTTTTCCGGGGGAAGGGGTCCAGCTGCTGTCAGAAGACACTACCATTAAACTCTGCTTAAGAAAAGAAGCGAAGTCCAGGCCGGGGAGACAGTGCAGGGGTGAAGGTGCCCTCCTTGCACGCGGCTGACCCCGGGTCCATGTCTGGCATTGTATACAGTTCCATGAGCACCACCAGGAGTGAGCCCTGGGCAATGCTGGGTGTGCCCTCCCCCTAAAAAAATTGGCAAAGACTAACAACATGACGACATAACAACAAGCGCCAGGAGACAGTGACAGGGATAAGGTGCCTGGACCACATGTGGATGATTCCAGTTCGATGCCCAGCACCAGTGGCCATGGTCCCCTGCAAGCTGCCAGGAACCCCAAGCACAGAGCTGGGTGTAGCCCACCCCAACATGCAATAAAAAGCATTCACAAGAGATTTACATCTAAAACATACGGAGTTTCACAACTCAATAATAAGCAGGGGGGAAAGACAAACATCACAACTTTTAAAGACTGTCACTGTAGCACTGTCCTCCCGTTGTTCATCGATTTGCTCGAGTGGGCCCAGTAACCTCTTCATTGTGAGACTTCTGTTACTGTGTTTGGCATATCGAATACGTCATGGGTAGCTTGCCAGGCTTTTGCCGTGCGGGCGAGATACTCTCGGTAGCTTGCCGGGCTCTCTGAGAGGGGCGGAAGAATCGAACCCGGCTCGGCCGGGCCGGCTGCGGGCAAGGCAAATGCCCTACTGCTGTGCTATCACTCCAGCCCAATTTTTAAAGGCACATGATTTAAATATTTCACTAATAATACATGAATGCCAGTAAGCATATGAAAAGGTAGCCAACATCAGAAACAGGAATTCAAGGACCAAATCAATAGTACAGTGGATGGGGTGTTTGCCTCGCACACGGCTCACCCGGGTTTGATCCCCAAGACCCAATACGGTCAGTGAGCATTGCCAGGAGTGATCCCTGAGCACAGAATCGGGAGTAAACTCTAAGTACCACTAGGTGGGGGCCATAAACAAAACAAACAGAAAGAGATGAACAAAGGCCTCCATCAGAGGGCCCCAAAGTTCTCTGACTGCCCCCTTCTAGAAAAACATTTTATTTTATTTAATTTATTTATTTTTGCTTTTTGGGTCACACCCGGCGATGCTCAGGGGTTACTCCTGGCTCATGCACTCAGGAATCACTCCTGGCGGCGCTCGGGGGTCCATATGGGATGCTGGGAATCGAACCTGTAATGGCCATGTTGGCTGCGTGCAAGGCAAACGCCCTACCCGCTGTGCTATCACTCCATCCCCTAGAAAAACATCTTAAAAATCACTCCACAGCCCCTGGAAATCAGCTTTTTGTTGCTGTTGTCGTTATTGGGGGCCCAGATGTCGCGGTACCAGGGAACAAACCCAAAGTTCTCCCTCTCCGGGCTCAAGGAAACCTTTGTGCCAACAGACAGGGGTGAGGTGCAGCTGCACTCAACTAGCCCCCCGCGCCCCGCCCCCCCATGCCCCAATACTGCCAGGTCCCTATGAGAAACACCGCTCCGAGAGAATCCACACGGACAGGCACAAGCCAAGACACAGACAGAGCACACACAGACCATATCCCAAGAGCGGCTGGACACAACTGTCCCCAGTGCCTACGCCTCCCCGGAGTGCCTCTAAGGCAGCGTTTCCCATCAAAGTCGATCAGATCATTGTATTTCCAACAATCTAAATATTTGCTTTAGTTGGAAGGAAAAGCCATTGAAGGGTACAAGATTCCAGCTTCTGCTCATCATTAAATTCCTGGAGGAGGTTAAAATATTACTTGTCTCCAGAAGCAATTATTTCAGTGCTTTAAAAACTCCTCTGGAGCCCCCCCAGTGAAGGCCGAGCCTGATGAAACGGGCAGGGTGAAATGTTAAGCCGCCTAAAATCTGGCTGGCGGAGAGTTTGACGTGCGAGGTGCCGGAGGCCCATTCAAAGTCGGCGGCACCAGGAGGAAAAATGCAGGGGCCTGAATGCTCGCCTGCCTTTCCGCGGGGCCAGAAAATGAGAAATGTCTGTTTTAAGAATGCAATTACTTAAGGATTTGGGCCTACTTTCCCGAGGTCCGAAGAAAAAATATTTAATCAACCTCTAAGTACAGTCATTCTTATGGGAACAATGAGGTAAGGGCAGATTAATTCTTTTCCTAAGGGGAAGAAATCGAAGCGGACACAGCTTTCTCAAGGCCTCGGAATCCTGAAGGTTTCCTCTGTCTGACCAGCTCGTCTCACGATTCCTGAAAGCGTTCTTTCACCCTGATGTACCTTCTAGGCCATGAATGAGCACCCTGCGCCCCACCCCAAATTCCTCGTGTGATCTCGGGTAACCAGGGCCTCTGCCAGGACCAAGGTTACAACTGTCCCTGAAAAGGCCTCAACAGGGCAGCCACTGGCTGTTTTTTGTGATGATTCCACATTTCAGGGAGGGATGGTCCTCAACTTGGCCACCGTGCTAAAACTATAGGGGAGACAGGGACCCCCAAGAGTTTGTTTGTTTAACCACAACACCCAGTAAGAGAGAGAGAACAAAAGGAAATGCCCTGCCACAGAGGTAGGGTGGGATGGGGGGGGATGGGCGGGATACTGGGATCCGTGGTGGTGGGAAATGGGCACTGGTGGAGGGATGGGTATTTGATCATTGTATAATCGAAACCCAAGCACAAAAATTTGTAAGTCTAAAACTGTATCTCATGGTGTCTCACTAATAAAAATTTTTAAAAAATAAATTATAAAATGTTTGTTTGTTTTTAGACATGAAAAGTTTAGCGTCCGAATGTGGGGTTGCCCCTGAAGACTGATTTTGCCCAGGGGATGGCTGTCAAATAAATATTAAATGT